TGTGTGTGTGTGTGTGTGTGTGTGTGTGTGTGTGTGTGTGTACACACGTGCAGGGGTGCTTGTCTCCCCCAGTGTGGCCTGGGTGTGTGTCTGACTGGCAGCTGGAGGTAGGGCTGTGCAGGTGGAGGAATCTCTGGACGGCACCAGACATCACGAATGACTTCCGACGACCCTGAAGAGAGCACAGTTCTGAGACCATGTGTAAGTGGCGGTCTACAAGGTACACTCCTGGTGCCTTGCCAAGGCCACCTGCCTCCTCACACACGTGCGTGCTTGCCTTTGTGGCATCTAGTTTTGCCTGGAAGAGGCAGTCTTTTTTTGGGGGGGGCACTTAAAATGTCTCTGGAAAAGTTCACTCAGACTTTTCTAAAAGGGCAGAAATCGCTGGGGCCCTGTCATTTATCACGTCCTCTTTCTTCCTTTTGGCTTCTGTGCAATAGCTCGCGCTATTCTGGAAGCATTTGGAAGGCGAGTGGAATGGTGGGGGCAGATCCAGTGAGCTGTCTAAATTCATTCAACGAAATGACCTGTGTTTTAGGAGAGAGCCTCACTCACGGAACCCCGTCCTCAACAAACGGCCTCCACACCCTTCCGACACCATCACTTGGCAGCAATAGGTCATGACCTCCAGCTTGGTGGAACAAAAGACAGTGGAAGGCCAAGGCCTCATGGAGGAGGGGGGCTAGACGTCCAAAGGGAAGTTCCACATCACCCCAGCACCTGGCCCTGAGTAAACAGCCAGGGATGGGGGTGCAGGAACAGTGCTGAGAGCCAGGAGGGGCTGCACACTGGGGAGAGCTGTGAGCCAGATCCAGGGTCCCGACGTTGCCATCACAAAGCCGTGGTGAGCAGGCTCTCACCACCACACGCAGCCCCGGTATCTCCTGCCCTGACTCCTAAGCTCCCCTCTTTGTGCTCAATCTCTCTCCCCCTAGCCGGCCTTACTGTCTGCCTGCCAGAGAAACCAACGCATTGGTGTTATTCATTGTAATCAAGGAACCCCGGCCAGTGTTGTGGGAGGCAGGGCGGAGAGACACACAATGAAGTTGTCGATTTGCAGCCTGGTGGCTCACACCTATAATCCCAGCAGTCCGGGAGGCTGAGGCAGGAGGCTTGCTTGAGCCCAGGAGTTCAAGACCAGCCTAGGCAACATAGCGAGACCTCATCTTGGTAACAAATTTTAAAATGAGCTCAGCATCGTGGCGTGCACCTGTAGTCCCGGCTACTCAGAAGGCTGAGATGAAAGGACTGCCTGAGCCCAGGAGACTGCAATGAGTCGTGGCCATGCCACTGTACTCCAGCCTGGGTGACACAGTGAGACCCCAGCTCAAGAAATATAGATACCGGAGGTGCCAAAAAGAAGTATACACATTTTAAGAGTTGTTAAGAGATGTTCATCATAATCAGAAGTGTCTGAATGGTGAAGATCACCATTCTGAGCACCGCTTGTGATTGCAGAAGTCAATTGTGACTTGTATTCATATTATTGAGTATTACAATTTTAATACTTTTTTTCCCCTTCTTACAATGTATAAACTGGGCGCAGTCATCCCAGCACTTTGGGAGGCAGAGGCGAGAGGATTGCCTGAACCCAGGGGTTCGAGACCAGCCTGGGCAACTTGGGGAGACCTCATCTCTATAATAAATCAAAAAAATTAGCTGGATATGGTGGCAAGTGTCTGTGGTCCCAGTTACTTGGAAGGCTCAGGCAGAAGGATCACCCGAGTCTGCGGTGGCTGTGAGCATGCCACTGCACTCCAGCCTGGGCGACAGAGTGAGACTCTGACTCAAAAAAAAATATGTATTCATTTTTTTGGCTCTCTCTCTCTCCCCCCCACCACCCCGTTATTCTAGTGTTTCCTCTGGGATAGGCTCTGAGCTTACAGGAACCAGGGTCCTTTCCCTCCTCTTCCTCCCCCTCCTCCAGTCTCAGATTTTCTAGATCCTTCTCAGTCCCTCTCCTGTACAGGCACCCCTTCCCCGAGGCTCCTGGGAGCACCCCCTCTCCCTGCCCCCACTTCTCTACCCATTTGGAAGCCGCAAGCCACGGTGCCTCTCCAGGCCTTCAGGACAGGTCTCTTTCGGGCCTGCTGTCCAGCCTCTCTGTGACTGCCTCTGTGGTGTGGCCTCCGGTCTGGGGGGTGTTTCTGTTTCTTTGGCTGGAGAGCAGGGGCTGTCCAGTGGCCTGAGCCCCTACCAGCAGCTGCGGCCACCACGGGCGCCCCTGCCCCAGGGGCCGGGAAGCTGTGTGCCTCCTCCTCCCTTGCTCCCCTGGCCACCAAGGCCAGGGAGCTCTCCTCCGCCTGGTCTTTAACTTCCACTCTCACAATGCGGAGCGTAAAAGATTACATCTTTATTTATGGATTTAATAACTCCACAGAAGAATTATAAATGTGGAAGCCAATGTATCACTTTAAAGGGCAGAGTGAGGAAGTCAAAAGGAGCTCTGCATCCTCTCTCCCCAGAACTTGGGGATGATTACTGCCAATGCCTGCAGTTGGGCCCCTCCCCAGAGCACCCCGGCATGACCTCTGGGGGTCTCCGTGGCCCGATCCCACCTTCCTCCCTGGCCATGCTGTGTGGCCACGGGGGAACACATCAGATTCTGTCTCCCGGGGATTTAGGCGTGCAGATCAGAGATGTCACATCTGAGGAAGGCTTTGGAGGCCTCTTTGTCTTGCTCCCCAGAGGCAGTGAAAGCCGGACTGCAGGGGACAGGGACGAGGGGGACAGCCAGACAGGCAGACGTGGCAGAGCGGGAGCTGCTGATCTGGGTGAGTGTCACATCCTGTCTTCAGCTGTCTCTCCTGAGTTCACAGTACACTCCTGGCTCTTGCGTCCTACAAATACCAGAATCCTTAAATGTCCCTCCCCTTTTTTTTTTTGTTTTGCTTCAGTTACTATGAGTGGGTTTCTGTTTCTGGCAACCCAGACTCTTTTTCATCTTTACCTTACCTCCCCTGGGCTGCTGAGCAGATGACCTTGACTGCTTAGGGGGTTCCTCCCAGTACGAGGCCCAGAGGACTCACTAGAATAAAAAGAACCCGCTCAAGGCCTGTCCTGAATCATCCTACCAGTCATTCTCACTCAAGTCACACCTCCTCCACGCCGCCTTCCAGATGACTGGGTCAGTTTCTCTTTCCTGTTCTGTTCATTCATGGTACACTGTCTTTTCCTCCAACATAACTTAGAGTGCAGAGTCCTCAGAGGCAACCTTATGTGTCAGAAAGATCATAAACTCTGGGGGTCAGGGCTCCAGGGATCAGAGTCTGGCTCTGCCAATTACCAAAGTGACTTAATAATTTCTGTATAAAATACAGGCTGGGCACAGTAATCCCAGCACTTTGGGAGACCGAGGCAAGAGAATCGCTTGAGCCCAGGAGTTCCAGACCAGCCTAGGCGAGACCTCACATCTCCAAAAAAAATCCAAAAAATAAGTGGGGCATGTGTGGTGGCGTGTGCCTGTAGTTCCAGCTACTCAGAAGGCTGAGGCAGAACGATCGCCTGAGTCCAGGATGTCGAGGCTGCGGTGAGCTGTGATCATGCCACTGCACTGCAGCCTGGGCAAAAGAGTGAGACCCTGACCCCAAAAATAAAAAATAAAAATAAAATCTAC